CCAGCCAACGATTGTTGATGGCGGCAGAGGCGGGGAACCAGGGTGGAGCCAGCCAGCAATTGTTGACTTGCAGTGGCTGCAACAGTGCGGTGATGGGGCTGGTGCCTTCCCCTGATCAGCCCGTTCGACTCCCACAAAGGGTGGCCAGACTGTGGCTTAGGCCCACTCCCCAAGGGAGCAGGGAGCAGGTAGTAGGACATCCCCTAGGGCTCCCAGTATGTGATAGGGGGCAAGCTGGGCTGAGGGAACCCCCTCCCCAGTGCACAAATTTTTGTGCACCGGGCCCCTAGTAATAATAATAATACCAAAGCAATAAAAATGAAAAAGAGAATAACTGGGGGAGTGAAGTTCGCCTCAGCAGATTTTAGTGACTACTAGGTTTTCCCGTTGGATTCTGCTTTTATGTTGTGAGGCTGTTTTGCATACTGATTTCAGGCCTCCCAGGAGATACTTTTGTGTTAACCAATGTCAGAAGCTGGCCACGTTTGGCTCTCGGGAACTTCTTCAAAACTTCAAGCAATCCACATCTTGTGGCTGCCTCTACTGGGCTTTGCTGCCCATGGGAAGGGCCCAGCTGAGCTTGTAGACTGGCTTTTTTAGCACCATGGGGCCCTGAGGCCAGTCAGCAAAAATTCAGAATTAAGGGAAGATGGTGGGTGTGTTGCCTGTCCCAGAGCCAGTCCACTGAGTCTCTTCTGAAATATTTCCCTGACCTCGGCAGGGTGGAACCCCTCTTAGGCATTCCGGTGGGTCTGCCAGAAGCCAGGAGTTTCTACCAGCTCTTCGGTGACAGGGAAGTGCCAACCACATAGATGACCCCACTCCAAAGTGCTCCCTGAGACTGCTGCCTCCTGTTGAGATGCAGGATGGGGTGTGCTGGATTTTAGAGGGTGGAGTGAGTGGGATGGCTTAGGGTGGGGCAAACTGTATCCCAAGGTGGCCAGGGTACTTGCCTTTCCACAGACTTCTGCCTCTCTGGAAAAATGGTTGCTCCTATATGGTGGGGGGATGACCCAGCACAGGTATCTCGACAGCAGCTCCCCAGCGACTCTCCCCAACTCCTTCCACCCCTGTCTCTCCTCAGGCTACTCCAGTCTGTATTGCTTTCCCTCTGTGAAACCTAGGGTGAGTGACTGGGAAAGAAAATCCTGTGTGGCAGCCCTTAAAAAAAAGTTGCTTTGTCTCTGGGAGTCTCTGCTCCCTGACAGAGGTGAGTGGCTACTGCTGGCTCTGGGATGCCCTGCCTGGGGTCCTGACCTCTCTTCTTTCTAGGGAAACCCTCCTCGCCCTTGGGCCAACACTCCTAGGAGCTCCGCCAGCCCCTTTCATGACCCTGCCCTTTCTGCCAGTCTTCAGGTGGTAATTCAGGGTGAAACTCCCCAGTTTATTTATTTATTTTTTAAAAAATATATTTTATTGATTTTTTACAGAGAAGGGAGAGAAGAGAGATAGAGAGTTAGAAACATCGATGAGAGAGAAACATTGATCAGCTGCCTCCTGCACATCTCCTACTGGGGATGTGCCCGCAACCCAAGTACATGCCCTTGGCCGGAATCGAACCTGGGACCTTTCAGTCCGCAGGCTGACGCTCTATCCACTGAGCCAAACCGGTTTCGGCGAAACTCCCCAGTTTAGTTTTAATTCCAGTTTGGTTCTGGAATTAGGTGCTAGAAAGATCCATCTACTTTGCCACCATCTTAACACCTCCCCCCATAATTGCATCTTTAGAGGCCACATTTATGTACCAATTATATTCACTACAGAGTATTTGTGAAGTACATTGTATATACTTGCAAAGCTGGCAGTTTTCTGTAGAACCCATTTTTAAACATATTCTATGTCGGTGTTGCTATTCAATTTTATAATTGCATGTTAAGATCCACTTCTTTGAGTAAGAACTTACTTATGGCCCCCAAAAAAACTTTATTCTCATTGTTAATGAAAGAAATGCTACAAACATTTTCTTCCTGTGAATTAACATTGTAATTGGTTTTAGTAATTAAGTCTGAGACTACTATTTAGGTAAACAAGTCAATTTGAATAACTTATTATATATGGCTTTAATTAAATTTAAATTTAAGTCAGATTTTTCTAAAAAGTAGGCTTTTTTTGATCTTCCTTAAAATAAGGTATGCTGTATGACATTTGTATTATAATAAAGAGATGAGAAGTTTAATTTTGCTTTTGAGTTAGAGTGAAAGAGTAAATGACCAACACACAAGTTTTAATCAAGATTTCTTGTTAGATACCTGTGTAAAGGGGCTATGATATGCTCTCTGACCTTTTTTGTTTGTTTGGAATTTTGAGTTTATTTTTTTAATATTTTTATTTTTTTAAGTACAGTTGGCATACAATATTATATTAGTTTCAGGTGTACATCATAGTGATTAGACATTCATATAGATTACTAAGTGATCACCCCAATAAGTTTAGTACCCACCTGTCACCATACATAGTTATTAAAATACTAGGGGCCCAGTGCACGAATTCATGCACCTTGAAAGGAACTGTGGGCCACCCACCACCGCCACTCCCACGCGCTGATGGTGCCAGCCTTGCTTGTACCCACTGACGGTACCGAGTGATAGGGTTTGGCAGCGGGTGCGAGCACCAGCTCTGGCGCCGGCAGTGGGTACAAGTGGGGCCGGCAACAGCAGTGGGTGCGAGAGGAGGCTAATAGTCCCAATCGACCCTCAGGAGCAGGGGGAGGTGGAGAAGCCCTCAGGGGTCATCGGGGCCAGCAGCCGCCACTTGTACCTACTTATGGTGCCGAGTGATCCGGGCTGGCACTGGGCGCCGGCAGCGGGTGTGAGTAGCAGCTCCAGTGCCAGCAGCAGGTGCGAGCGCTGGGCAGGACCACGGTGCACAGGAGCAAAGAATTTTCAGTAACACCGGAAGCAGCAACGGGCCCCCGCCTTGGTCTGGCACCCCCGCTCACCTGCTCTACTATCCCACCATGGCCAACGCCCACCATGTTCTGCGCTCTGCCACCTGGTGGTCAGTGCACATCATAGCACTGTTCGGTTGTTTGGTTGTTCCGCCGTTTGGTCTGTTTGCATATTAGGAATATATATATATATAATTGACTTTCCCTCTGCTGTACTTTTTACATTTTTTTTAAATTCTAGTTTACATTCAATATTATTTTGTATTAGTTTCAGGTATACAGCATAGTGGTTAGACAATTATGTACTTTACAAAGTGTTCCCCCTGATATTTCCAGTATCCACCTAGCACCATACATAGTTAGCATAATATCCTCTAAGTTCATCTGTGTAGTTATAGCCCATAATAGCTCATGAACTGAAATAGGAAAGAAGAGGGCATATAGTAGTAGTTTCCTATAAAGGGAATAACCTGAGTTTCTCAAGGAACCTGTTCTTTAGAAAGGTAGAAAAAGGGTAAAAGAACCGTGTCACCCTAGGAACAAAAATGTTTCCTTTTATGTGTCAAGACCCATCAGAGGACTCTCACAGTTCCTAATGTTTGTTCAATTAAAAAACCTTTAGTTAGGGAACAAAATGTCAGCAAGCCAAAAATTCAGCTGTTAGCCTATTCTTGAAACAGTTAAGTGCTGATTCGGACTACATCAGCTTCAAAATGACTGGATCAGTGTTTTGTTTGTTTGTTTTGTTTTTTAAATTAAATTTTTTGGGGTGACATGGGTTAATAGGGTCACCTAGGTTTCAGGTGTAGATTTCTGCGTTAAAAGATCTGTATATTGCACTGTGTACCCACCACCCAAAGTCAAATCATCTTCTGTCACCATATATTAGGCCCCTTTCACCCCCACCCCCTTCCCTGTGGCAACCCCCACACCGTTGTTTGTGTCCATGATTTTCAGTTTTATATCCTACATATGAGTGAAATCATGTGATTCTTAGCCGCAGTGGATACCTGCAATAGAAATATCCATGGAGATGGTGGGCGTCCTCAAGGTATATCCTAATTGCCTGGCCCACTCAAAATCTTCCCAGATCTTCATCCAGATGCCTTCTTCATCTCCCTGAAGAAAACATAATGAGAGAGAGACACTTTGGTGGAGTGGCTTTAGCCACTCATGTATATATCCACAGAGCTATGCTGGCTTTAGTTGTCCAGAGAGATCTTCCCCCCTAGGCCAGGAAACAAACTTTATAGACAGAGAAAGTATTTTGTGCTCAAATAAACTTTAATTACACACAAAAAAGTTGATCAGTGGTTTTGATCCCTTTTATTTTTGGTCACAAGCTGCCTTGGGTATCTGATGAAAATGTGGACTCTCTTCTCCCAACTGATGTCCATCCACACACAATTATGCACTTAATTTTGAATGGACTTCCTTGAGGCACTTCTGAAACTTGGGGGAAGAACTTTGTAGGTTCTTTGTTGGTTATAATGGAGCTGCATCACTGAATATGTTTCCCTCCATTCATCTTCATTTTCTTGATATTCCTTTGGGAAATCGAACCCATATGCCTTTTAAAGAGGGGTTAGTAGTATAAATTCCCATGTTCTGTTACTTTGGCTTTTCATCCACCTCACTTAATTTAATGGATATTTTCTCACATTAGTATAAATTTAGATATTTAGCTTAAGAGACTTTTTTTTCTTACTGGTTTCTAGTCTTTTTTATTCAAGTATCTAGAAAATTCAACTTCCTCTGGTGATTTTTAACTGACTCAGTTCTTGTGCTTAAGGTATCAGTGAGAAAGTCTATGTGATTTGACAGTTGGCCCAAGAGGTCTCTCCTCTTGCCCATGTACAGTTTAGCATTAAAACCTTTATATATTACCAATTACAAAAGCCCAGGGTGGTATGTTGTTGATTATAGTGAAAGTTCTCTGTGACCCAGGGTTATGTGTACTCCTCAGGTGTCATGGATCTGGGAGGTACTGGTTGGGACAGAGTTATATCTGTGATTGTGATCAAGACTCCAGAGGTTAGCTGAGCCAGAGGAATTAATTTGTTCATTCATTCATCCAACTAATTTATTGAGTGTCTACTTTGTGTCATTGCCTATTAAAGGAGAAATTTTAATAAAAGTGCATGCATATATTATTCACTGCAACAAGTGTTATCAAGGAAGTGTTGGATGATATGAGAGCACATAACAAGGAACCTAATTTAAATTAAGACAGGGACGGCAGAGGTCTGGGACTAGATGGCCCAATTGTAATGGTCAATGTGAAACTTTATTACTCAAAAGTGTTTATTTACTATATCTCTAAGTATATGCTTATTCGTATGTATGAGATTTGGGTGTGTTTTTTTAAAATATGTTTTTATTGATTTTAGAGAGAGGAAGGGAGAGGGATAGATAGAAACGTTAATTGACTGCCTCCTGCACGCCCCCTACTGGGGATCCAGCCCACAGCCTGGGCATGTGCCCTGACCAGCAGTCAAATTGGTGACCTCTTAGATCATGGGCCGATGCTCAACCAGTGAGCTACACTGGCCGTGCATTGGGTTTTAACATGTTTTCAAAGTGTAGTGATAACTTGGACCCATATGAGTCATTGCTAAGATTTTTAGTTTGCTTTTTGATCATATGTTTTTTCTTTCTTCTTTACAGTATACACTTTGGAATTTTCTCCCAAAGAATCTGTTTGAACAGTTTAGAAGAATTGCAAATTTTTATTTTCTCATAATTTTCCTTGTACAGGTAAGAGCTCCATAAACTGCCACTCCACTTTTAGAAACTTAATTACTTCAAACAAATTTTCACTCTACTTCTAATCTTAAAATGACCTGTGATTAAAAAGATGTTTCAGGGCTTATTATAATAATACTTTTGAAAGTACCGATATTACATATTAAGGTTTATATTATTTTATATATTTCTAAAGTAGCACTTTCACTGGAAAACTTGTTGCAGCTGTTATTTTTAAAAAAACTTTTATGGATTTCATATTTTTGTTCACACTTGAAGCACATGTATTATATACCATTAAATGCATTGGTATATATCAAAATTGAAAATAGTTTAGGTGCCGAACCGGTTTGGCTCAGTGGATAGAGCGTCGGCCTGCGGACTGAAGGGTCCCGGGTTCGATTCCGGTCAAGGGCATGTACCTGGGTTGCGGGCACATCCCCAGTAGGGGGCGTGCAGGAGGCAGCTGATCGATCTCTCTCATCGATGTTTCTAACTCTCTGTCCCTCTCCCTTCTTCTCTATAAAAAATCAATAAAATATTTAAAAAAAAAATAAAAAAAAAAAAAAAGAAAATAGTTTAGGTTAATAGTTTACTTTATTAAACACTAATTTCAGCTTAATGGAAAGTGTATCACTTATCTTCCTGATTATTAGTTATGCTCTTCATTCATTTACTTTAAGTGTGAAAGCCTAGTATTTAGACATTTTAAATTGCATCTTACATTTTAAGTCTGTAAGTTATTAAAATCTTTCCCTTGCCAAAATCAACCACTGAAAATTTTACTACATTAAAGGTACTTTCCCCCCTCACTTCATTTTTCTAAAACAAAGCAGAAACATTTCAATGAAATTGCTGAAATGCCTTATTGGTATTAAGTGCTTCTGTTTATCCACTTTAAATTTTTGAGTAAATGGTACTGTAATTTAATTTGGCCCTGCTACTTAAAACCAATCTGGTTTGTGATATGGGAAAGAGCCAATTTCAATTTTGAATGATGGGGCACTTTAAAAGGGGCTCCCCTACATCCATGGTAAGATGTCTTACAGACCAGCATAAAATAAACTATATAGAGCCAGCATAAAATAAACTACATAGAGGATTATGAACAGGAATCATTCCACTTGGCTTACAGCGCATCTCAGTTCAATTTAGTGAACATATAGCAAGCACCTCTTATGTGCCAGACAACAAAGATTTTAGCAGGTGCAATGAAGATACGGCTTTTCTATCCTGAAGGAATTTATGTATAGCCAAAACTAGTCATGTATTCACTTAATTTAATATAGTAAAAGTCATAAAAGTAGCATTAGCAAAATGTTATGGGGATATGGTAGAAGTTAAGATTTTTTTTTTCTACCCAAGAGGAGCTTGAAAAGGCTTCAAAGAGTAGGTGATATCTGAACTGAGCCTTGAAGGATTAGAGACTGGTATCAGTCTGTGTGAAGACACAGAGCTATGTAAAAGCCTGCGTCTGCAACACAGTGTGTGTGGCAGGGGCAGGTCTATGTGGGGGTTAGAGATGAGAGTCAATGAATTATGAGGGCAGATGGAACTCATGGTCCTCTGTCACTCAAATCTAGTTCTCATTCTCTTTCAATGTTTCCTATTTCAGTGAATGACAACATCAACCAGCCATGTTAACCAAATACTTGGAAGACATCTTTAATTACCCCTTACAAGAAATTCCTTATTAGTCATGCCATTTTTGCCTCCTAAATATCTCTGGAACATCTTTCCATTGCTGCTGCTACTCCCCTCATCCAAGCCATGATCTTTTATCTGGATTAGAACAGTAGCTTCCTAAATGGAATCCCTGCCTCCATTCTTGTTCCCTTACATTTTATTTTCCACAATGCAGTGAAAATCTTTTCAAAATGTAGTTCTCTTTATGTGAACTCTCCCTGGTTAAAAGCTTCAATTATTTCCCACTGTTTGTGGGATAAAGAATGAATTCTAGCATAGAGGGCCCTGCTTGGTCTGGCCCGTCTCCCTCTCCAGCCCTGTCTCACACCACATGCTTTTGTTACTGGCTCCCTTTATTTCATTACCTGTATAACACTCCCTCCTACCATAGAGGCTTTGTATACACTGTTTACTGCTCCTGGAAAGCACCCTTCTTTCATCTAGTTAACTTCTGTTTACTCTTCAGGTCTCAAGGTTTTTTTTTTAATACCTGGTTTTCCCTGTAAGCTGCCAGCTGTATGTGGTCAGGGACTTTTCTCCATCTGTTTAAAGCAGCATCTCTAGAGCCTGGCTGATAATAGTTCAGGGACTGACAGAATGGTGCTCAACAAATAGATGGTAAATGAATGGATGTATTTCAATAAAGGGGTTAATTCAACCTGTGATGAAAACTAAACCTGATTTAGAAGTATTTTTTTAAACTAACTGCTGTGTGGATTGCTTTTGTTTTAATGAAAGTTAACATTCACCCTGCTACCAGAATAAGTTTTGTCTGCATTCTTTCTGAAATTTTTTCAGCATGTACAGACTGCATATAAGTTATTGACTATTTTTATTTTACTTTCAATTTAATTTATTTACCTAGGTCACAGTAGATACACCAACTAGCCCAGTTACCAGTGGACTTCCACTTTTCTTTGTTATAACTGTTACAGCCATCAAGCAGGTAAATTTATTATTTACATTTATGTCTGCATTTTATTTCTGTCTAGTTTGAATTTCATTGTCAAGGGTTCTCTTTCATATTTATATAGAGTGGACACTATATCTGAGGGGTTTAATTTATATTTGGTTCTTATTGAAAATCTCTTAAAATGATTGTAAAATACATCATTAATATTCATGCTCCTTTCTTTCTCAATATTTTTGTGTGAGAATATTATCCAAGTCAGGAAGTGGGAGGCAAAATGTTAATGTGCATTAATTTTTTTCATTGTGGTATGTCTATTTGAAACATTTCCAATCAAGTGGACTTTTTTGCTTGTTTGCCTATGGTAGATAACACAAGAGCATAAATACTTTAATTTTGTTGTCTTTCCTGATGGTGCTGAAGGGGGTGGTAGGTGGAGGAGACTTTTATTGTCTTGTCAAAGCTGACAGCTGCCATGGTTTGTAATGCTGATGTTGATACTGGACTAAAGGGGCTAAAGGAGTCCGTTTGCCTGTATGTGTCAAAGCCCAATAAAACTGGAACAGGAGCTTGCAGTCAAAAAAAAGTAAGGGTTTATTTTTAGTAAGTAGCCTGCCAGGGGGAATCATAGATGAGCTAATGCTCAAAGACCTGGCTCCCCAATGGCTTCCAGAGGATGGGTTTTATAGGGACAAAATCATCAATCATGGTGACAAAGGAAGTTAGTGTTGTGGTATACTAAACAGACACAGTCTCTGTAGTCATAGAGTTGACATTATAGTAGGGAACACAAACAATAACAACAAAACCACAAAGACATAATTTAAAAATGTCAGGAAATGCTATGAAAGAAACAAAAAAAATATTTGAACTGAGAACTTACACTAGTATGTATCAGAAAAGTTATTCACCTCCAATAACAGAAACTTCTCAAAAACCTATCTTAAATACATTTCTGTCATATGAAAGAAATCTGGAGGTGGTCATTCCAGGGTAGATGTAGTGTTTTTATGATGTTGTCACTGGACTAACAGGTCCCTTTGCCTGTGTGCATCAAAGCCCAGTAAGACATTAACAGGGGTTTGCAGCAAAGAAAATAAGAATTTATTTTTAGATGGTGGCCCAGGCCTGAAGTCATAGGTGAGGTAATACTCAGAGACCTAACTCCCCAATGGCTTCCAGGCAATGGTTGTATAGGGGGGAAAATCATTAATTTTGGTGACTAAGGGAGTTAGGGTCGTGGTCTCTACTGATTGGTCAGCACTAGAGTAGGGAGTGGTTGATCAGTGCATCTGGTTTTGCTGCTTTACTGGGCCTGGAGCTGAAACATAACTGAAGATTAGATATTATCTCTACTTTGACCTGATCAAAACTCTGTTTCTGTGGTCAACAGACCAGAGGCTTTGTTCCTAAGATTATTTGAACCTCATTGTCCTGAGGGCTTAATGATTCAGGAAGTGGACATGCAAGGGAGAAGGAGGCAAGTGAGTCAGGGTTCTGGGCAAGGCCAGTTTGAATCAAAAGGAAAGAAAAGAGAAAAGGTTATACTAAAGAAATGAAGTTTCTGCACAGTTACAATGTCTTTGAAGTATTTTGAGCATTCTGGATGAAATTGAAAATGGACAGAAAGTGGAGGAAAAGGGATAGGTTAGCAATTTGTATCACATAATTAGCCACAAAACCAGGCTAATTACAAACATACTTTTACATAGTACTTATCAAGTGCTTTTAACAGTGTCTCAAAAGAACTTCCAAATTAAAAGTCTGCTTAACAGTATTGGGAACAAGGTTATGTTTCCTCCTGGGGTTATCTGGTCTTCTATCTTGCCTAACAGGAACTACAAGAATATTTTATCAAGTTCTTGGTTACTAAATCAAGACTTTTGAAATGTTCTTTCCCTTAAGCTGTTAAGATTATTTTCTTTAACATCATATAATTGCTGCTTCCCAAAATATCCTGTATGGTTTCAAAAGCTCTTACTGATTCATTTTAATTCCAATACTAGTTCATATTAGGACCTTTCTCTCCTCACTGAAATGATAGCCTAGCATAGTCATAAAGAGAGACAGAATTGGAATGAATATAGCAACTGAGAAAAAAAAGGGGGAAGCAGTCAAAGTATTTTTCAAACAGTTATATTTGAAAAGGTACAGATATAATTAAAAGAAAAAAAGGAAAGTATTGTAAAAAACAGGAGAGGAGGTTGTACTCAAACAAATGAACATCCTCTCGCCTTGTTTCTTTTGCCTTAAATATATTCCAGACAAAAAGCCCAAAGAAAAATGAGCCATTAGACCTTTCCCTGATTACTTCTAATTCTAAAAAACGAACACCAATTTATATTTTTTTTTACCACCAAGTCAGTGTAGTTTAACTATTGATCTCTAAAACTTATCATAGATTCTCTGCCAAAATAACCCTAGCTTGCCTTTTCTATTCTGTCCCTGGGAGGATTTCAGTTTCCTCAGAGATGATCACTCCAATGGTCTACTACAGAAGAATATATTTAAGTGGTTAAGTCTGTAAGAAAATAATACCCAGAAATGTTTTTTTTTCAAATTCAAAAGTAGAAAGATCAACATTAACTTGAATAAGAGTAGAATTAAAAGAACAGATCATAGTCCTTCAGTTGAAGAATATTAAGGCTCTAATGCTTGTGTTTTCATTAATACTTAAATGTTGAATGGTAGAACCTTTTAATACAATAAAGCTATTTACCTAAGGGATATTTTGAAAGCGTATCTTAGTTTTTCTATAAAAATGTAATGTCTCTTTAGCAATATATTTTGAAACTAAAGGTACGGTGCATGGATTCATGCACCAGTGGGGTCCCTCAGCCTGGCCTGAGCCCTCTCGTAATCCAGGACCCCTCACAGGGGAGGTCGGAGAGCCGGTTTTGACCTGATCCCCGCAGGCCAGGCCCAGGGACCCCACCGGTGCACAGATCCGTGCACTGGGCCTCTAGTAAATATGTAAAAAGCTGTTCAACCTTCCTCAAATCATATAAGATCTTTGGTTAATTTCTTCCCACCCTACTCCCTCCCCCCTTCCCTCTGAGATTCATCAGTCTGTTCCATGTTTCCATGCCTGTGCATTGAGTGTCTGCCCCCTGCTGGTCAGTGCGCATCATAGCTTCCGGTCAAACAGTCGCTTAGGCATATATATATATATATATAAATACTGTAAGTATAAATTTATGCTGGTAACTCATGGAGGGGGTTATAGAAATTTAATTCATTATATGAACTTGATTGTATAGTTTTGTTGTTTTTTTATCCTTCTAGGGATATGAGGATTGGCTGAGACACAGAGCTGACAATGAAGTCAACAAGAGGAATGTTTACATTATTGAAAATGCAAAGCGAGTTAGAAAAGAGAGTGAAAAGATCAAGGTATTAATTTTTGTTTATTCTTGATTATGGTAAAAAAAATACACCTTTTTTCTTTATGCTTCTTTATTATGATAAAAATATACTTTTTAAAAATTCTTACCCAAGGACAAGGTTTCATTGGTTTGAGAGAGAGAGAGAGAGAGAGAAACATCCACTGGTTTCCTCCTGCACTCACCCCAACTGGAGTCTGACCCTGCAACCTAGGTATGTACTCTGACCAGGAACTGAACCACGGCCCTTCGTGCGTGGGACAACACTCCAACCAGCTCAGTCACACCGGCCAGGGCTGCACACCATTTTTAAATGGACAATTGATTCAGTGGCATTTAGTGCATTCACAGTGTTGTGCAACCACTGACACTGTCTAATTCCAGAACATTTTCATCACCCCAAAAGGAAACCCCCATAAGCCATTAAACAATCATGCTTCATTCCTCTCTCCCCCAGTCCCTGGCAACCACTAATCTTTCTATTTCTATGAATTTACCTATTCTAGATCTTTCATATGAAAGGAATCATACACTGTGTGTCCTTTTGTGTCTGGCTTCTCACTTAATGTAATATTCCCGAGGTTCATTCATGTTGTAGTATGTATTAATACTTTATTAGTTTTTATAGCTGAATAACATTTTATTTTATGATTATACCACAGTTTGTTTATTCATTAATAAGTTGATGGAAGTTAGTTTTTTTCCCATCTTTTGGCTATTATGAGTATTGCTGTTACAAACATTTCATGTACAAGATTTTGTTTGAACACCTGTTTTCAAATCTTTGGGGTATATACCTAGGAGTAGAATTGCTAGGTGATACAATAATTCTATGTTTAAATTTTTCATGAATTACAAACTGTTTTCCACAGCAGTTTTTACCATTTTACATTCTACCAGCAATGTATAAGATATTTTGTTGCCAACAGGTTTTATTTTAATTAATAATTAACTTTACTTTTTAGAGCAGTCTTAGGTTCACAGCAAAACTGAGCAGAAACTACAGAGTTCACATATACCTTGTTTCCCCACAGGTACAACCTCCCTTGTTACCAATATCCCCCACCAGATTGGTACATTTGTTACAATCAATGAACCTACATTGACATATCATTATTATTCAAAGCTTATAGTTTACATTATTAGGGTTCACTCTTGGTATTGTACATTCTATGTACCTGAACAAATGTATAAATGACATGTATCCACCATTATATTATCATACTGAATTGTTAAACTGTCCTGAACATCCTCTGTGCTCTGCCTATTCATCTCTCCCTCCCTTCCTTCAACCTGGAACCACCACTAATCTTTTTACTGTCTCCATAGTTTTGCCTTTACCATAATTTCATATAGTTAGAATCATACAGTATGTAGCCTTTTCATATTGGCTTCTTTCACTTAGTAATATGCATTTATGTTTCCTTCATGTCTTTTCATGGCTTGAGAGTTCATTTTTCTTTAGTGCTAAATAATACTTCATTGTCTATATGTAGTAGTTTATTTATCTATTCACTTACTGAAGGACATCTTGTTTGCTTCCAAGTTTTGGCAATTATGAATAAAGCTGCTATAAACATCTATGTGCAGGTTTTTGTGTGTACATAAGATTTTAGTTCATTTGGGTAAATACCAAGTGTGACTACTGGATTGTATATTAAGAGCTTGTTTAATCTTATAAGAAACTGCCAAACTATCTTCAAAGTGGCTATTCCATTTTGCATTCTCATCAGCACTGAATGAGAATTCCTGTTTCTCCACATCTGCATTTGTTGTCAGTCTTGTGGATTTTGACAATTCTAAAAGGTGTGTAGTGGAATCTTACTTTTGTTTTAATTTTCAATTCTCTAATGACATATGTTGTTGAACATCTTTTCATATACTTACTTGTCATCTTAATATCTTCTTTGGTGAGGTGAATTTTTAGGTGTTTTGCCCATTTTTAAGTCAGATTGTTCATTTTCTTATTGGTGAGTTTTAACAATTTTTGTATATTTTGGATAGCAGGCCTTTATCAGATGTGCTTTTTACAAATATTTTATCCTAGTTTCAAGGTGTTATTTTTTAAATTTAAATTTTGTTTATTACAATAAAGAACACATCAAATTTACCATTGTAACCATTTTAAGTGTACGGTTCAATAGTATTAAGTACATTCACATTGTAGAGAAACAAATCTCTAAAACCTTTTCATCCTATAACACTAAAACTCTGTAACCACTAAACACTAATTCCTCCTTCCTCCATCCTTTGGTAAACACCTATTTTCTGTTTTTATGATTGACTACTTTAGGGAGATACTTCCTATAAGTGGGATCATACAATATTTATCCTCTTGTGACTGGCTTATTTCACTTAAGCATAATGTCTTCAAGCTTCATCCATGTGGTAGCATATGACACGATTTTCTCCTTCTTAAGGCTACATAATATCTGATTGTATGCATATAGCACAGTTTCTTTATTAGTTCATCTGTTGATGGACATTTGGGGTTGCTTCTACCTCTTGGTTATGAGAATAATGCTATTATGAACACACATGTACAAATAACTCTTCAAGATCCTGTTTTAACAAGATATGGATGCAACCCACTTGCCCATTGATGAGTGTATAAAAAAGTTGTGGCACACAATGAGATACCACCTCACACCTTCAGAATGGCCATCAACAATAAATCAACAAACAAGTGTTGGTGAAAATGTGGAGAAAATGGAACTCTTATGCACTGTTGGTAGGAATGCAGGTTGGTGCACCCACTATAGAAACCAGTATGGAGGTTATTTAAAAAATTAAAAATGGAACTGCCTTGTGACCCAACAATTCCACTTTTGGGTACATATCTGAAGAAACCCAAAACACTAATTCAGAAGAATATATGGACCCCTATGTTCATTACAGTGTTATTTATATTAGTAAATATATGGAACCAATCCAAGTGTCCATTAATAAGTGAGTAGATAAAGAAACGGTGGTGCATATATACAATGGAATATTCCTCAGCTATAAAGAGAACAAAATTTTAACATTTGCGACAGCATGGATAGACCTAGAAGGTATTATGCTAAGTGAAATAAGTCAGTCAGAAAAAATACCATATGATTTCACTTATACATGGAACCTAAAGAACTAACCATACGAATAGACAATATTAAAACAGACTCATAGACACAGAGAGCAGACTGGTGGATACCATAGGGAAGTTTGATTGGGGGACTGGGTAAAAGAGGTGAAGGGATTAAGAAGTACAAATTGGTAGTTACAAAATAGTCATGGAGATATAAAGTACAGCATAGGGAATATATTCAATAAAATAGTGACAAATGTATGGTGCCAGGTGGGAATGCTTTGTAAAGTATATGATTATCCACTATGTTATATGCCTGAAACCAATATAAAATAATAAAATAATATTGAAAGTAAACTGAAATAGAAAAATAAAAAATAAAAAATAAAAAATAAAAAATAAAAAATAAATTAAAATGTTTTTAACAAAAGATTCTGCTTTGAATGGTTTAAGACTATCAAAAGTTATCACTGATGAATCATTTATTAAATACCTAGAATGTCTGGACATAAGTTCTCCATATCCCTAGTGATAGGTAAATTGTCTTGCATCTTATAGTAATGATGGGACAAAGGTTACCACATAGGAGGGTTACCTGAGTTTGACATAGAATGTCTTTCTTTTACTCTTTTTTTCCCCTCCATTCTCTGCATCCCAGAGGGGATGACCCTGTGATGAACTAGACTAGTTAGGATCTGAATTTTCTAAACCAGTTGTAGAAACTCGGCATTACTGTTCAGCATAAGAACCAAAGCATCCTAAATGTTTCATAAAATTAAATCTGTGACTCACAAGACATGTAGTAAAAGTCTCCCATTCATCTTTCTTTCTTCTATTTCCTCTTTCTGATTCTGCTATTACCCCCATTCCCTTAGAAAGACCCCCATATTCCATCTTTCCTTCACTAGACTTTATTACCTTAAGGCTTACCTCATCCCGGTATAATCTTAATTAAATAATTTGATGCTGTTGTGTGAAATGCTATTTGATTATTTGATTGAGCTTTTTCTGGAGTATTTGTATGTGTAAAGAGATGTTTATAAACCAAACGTGTCTAAATGTTTAATTGTTGAGCAGGAGAGTGACTTGGTCCATATCCGCAGTGCAATGGGGATTCTTTGAAGGGTTTTAAAATAAGGGAGTGACTTGATCTTTAAAAAAAAAAGACAACTCTGGAGATTGGCAAAAGTGAAATCAGGGAAACCCGTTAGATGGCTACTGCAAAACATGGTAAGAGTTGATATTAGGGTGATGGTAGTAGAGATAATGATAATAAAGATAGTAGTTAACATTTATATATTACATAAATATACCAGGCATTCCCTTTTACTTTATATTAACTTATTTAATCCTTAATTCATAACAGTCCTATGAGGTAGGATATGTGTGTTTTTTTGGTATTATTATCTCCTCTTTAAAAGTGATGAAACTGAGGCAGAAGGATATTAACAAACTTTTCCACAACTAGTGGACATCAGGATCTAGTGATATATTGGATGTAGGGAGTGAAAAAAAAAAAAAAAAAAAAAAAAAAAAGAATAAAGATAGCCTTCTTGGTTTTGGCTTGAGCAACTGGATGAATTAAATAATACTATTGAACAAAATGGTGGTGCTATTAAATAAAATGGAGAAGAGCAGGTTTAGGGACAGATGGGAGTGAAAGGAAATTAAAAATTCAGTTTTGGCCATGTTAATGTTGAGATACCTGTTAGACATCTGGATGGAATTGTCGAGACTAGAGCTCAGAGATGTTTTAAGTGGAAATAGAAATTTTGATTTTATCAGCATGTAGATGGCATATGAAGCCATGAGACTGGATGGAATCACATAGCACATAGAGATCCTAGAAACAGAAATTGTAGAATTCAAATGTAAAAAAAAATACTGTAAGGGAGCCCTAACCGGTTTGGCTCAGTGGATAGAGCGTCGGCCTGCAGACTCAAGGGTCCCGGGTTTGATTCCGGTCAAGGGCATGTACCTTGGTTGCGGGCACATACCTAGTAGGGAGTGTGCAGGAGGCAGCTGATCGATCTTTCTCTCTCATTGATGTTTCTAACTCTCTATCCCTCACCCTTCTTCTCTGTAAAAAATCAACAAAATATATTAAAATAATATTGTAAGGGAAAGAATATGGATTTTGGCATTAGAAATATTGGAAGAGTTTCTTTAGATTTACTGATTATTTCCTTTGTTGTATCTAGTCTATTGATAAGCCCATTAAAGGACATCTTTTTTTAATTTTTTATTGATTAAGTTATTACATATGTGTCCTTATCCCCACATTACCCCCCATCCCCCCCATAAAGGACATCTTTATAGTATCATGTTTTTCATTTCTAATTTCCCCATTTGCTGTATTTTTTTTTGTAGTTTCCATCTGTCTATCCAAGTTCTTCATCTGTACATGTATGTTGTCTACCTTTTCCACTAGGTACTTTAAAATCTTAATCATAGCTATTTTTACATCCCTGTTTCATAATTTCAAAATCCGAACATTTCTGGGGCTGGCCCTGTTGACTCTTTTATCTCTTCATGATAGGTCATTTTTGTCTTGTATTTTGTGCCTCATTTTTTAAAATTGAATTTTGGACATTGTATATAAAAAATGCTGAAGTCCTAGGTAGAAAGTATTTATATTCTGAACAGAGCAGGCCTCTTCTGTCAGCCCCTAGTGTTGGGAGTTGCATCAATCTAGTCAGGAGTTGGGCTGGCTTTGGTTTTTGTTTGTAGCTATTGATATTTCAGTACACCACTGGACCTCAAATTCCTGGAGTGCTGGATTGCCATTGCCTCTTGCTTTGTGGGGGGCCTGGGCTCCAAAGTGTTTTTCTCAGTGCTCCTGTTCCACCCTCTGTAGGTGCTACATCCCTGAGATACAGTGGATGCTTCTCTCTCTGTCCTTTCTCCTCCCCCAGTGGTAGATTGCTGTTTCTTGTTATTCATTACAAGGCTTCTATTTGGAACAGAGTGATTTCTTGTATCTCATGCTCTACTCTCAGTGATAGGCAGGTCTGATGTACCTTTACCTCAGGGTGGAACTTTCTCAATACTCCCACCCCACCTCCCATGGAAGCTGAACTTTGCCTTTTATCAATGCTAAGTCCTCGGTATAGTGAGTTTTCTATCCCATCCCCAACAGCAGATGGCTTTGCTTCTATATCCTCTAGCAGTAGTGACATTTTTCTGATATATGCCAAGGAGGGTTTCTTTCCTTTCTCCTAGACACAGATGGCTTTTACCTCAAATGAGAAAAGGGTCCACGATTCTGACATACAGTTAATCACAACCTGTATGCCTGTACCAGTGAGGAAGGCTCTTTTAGGTCTCCCACCCTCTTGCTTTCTCATGAGTACCCAACAGATGCCTGTAGATCTCTTCTTTTCTATCAGGCTTGCAGAGATTCTAATGTGTTAGCTCCTACCAAGCCTTTTAGAATTGGTTTAAAATCCAGTTGTTTTCTTCTTATGCAAGTTTTGTTGGCCATCTCTTCATCCTGTGCTTTGACAAATGTGAAACAGTTGTCTCTCCTCAGAGGGACTTTTCATACTTTGAAATTCAGTTTACTTGGTTGCTTTGCAACCTCAGCTCTCTGATGAACTAAAAAAATTATGATTTTGTAGGTTTTCTAATATTTATGTTGAGGGATAGTGATGCTCTCTTCTGGCTTTGAACTTGCAATGTTACCAGAACTCCAGAGTTGATTGTCTAACTGGACCATGTTGTTCTCTTTCTTTAAATGTCTTTTCCCAGTTCCCCTTTGCCTTAAAGGTGAGCCCTAACCCACTAGCCTGGCCTGCCAGGACCTTTGAGATCTGGCCCATATCCATCTCGCCAAGCCTCAACTTGCACTCCAGATACAGGGACCTTGATAGTTAATATCTAAGCAAATCCTAAATGTTGTAGAAGAAATTCTCTATTTGTGGTTTTTATTTTTCAGTGCCTGAGAATCACCTTCAACCCTTTGAATGTTTCCTCCTTCTAACATGCTTTAGGGTTTCATTTTTTTGTTTTGTTTATTTAAGCATCAACTGTGGTTTTATGTAAGCTACATAAGTTTATGTAATTGAAGAAGGATAGATCTAACAAATAAAATGCTATTTACAAATTAGTTCAATTATTGATGCTGTTGCTCTTGGCAACTGATGAAGATTGGCAAAGAAAATGAAATTGTTCCCAAGTAGGTCTTAACATCCTCATCTTTATCTGCCAAATTGTGTAGGAAATAAGAGGCAGGTGTGTTAGTTATTGGTTCATTGTTTCACAACCACTGTGTCTTGGTTGTTGTGCCAGATATTGACTATCTCATAAGTGGGTCATCTTCTGCCACTAGCAGCCTCTACCCTTAATCTGAGGGTGCTGTATAAAAATCTTTTCTGTATGTGCCACGGTATGAAAATGTTGGGAAGTGCTGGACTGATGATTTCCTACACACACCAAAAAAAGTTGGGAAGAAATTAGTTGCAGGGTATTAGTAATAATTACAATTAATACCTATCAGATGGTGACTGTATGCCGGGAGTTTGCAAAACACTACCTTTGTCCTCGTTTCATGCTCAGACCAGTCCTACAAGGTAGTTGCAATCATCTAGGGCACTTACCCAAGGTCATATAGTTATAAAGTGGCAAAGCTGGGGCATAAAGTCAGGTTAGAAAGTCCTACCTATTTAACCATTATGACTTATTCCCTACATTATTAAATTATCTGCAGTAGAAATGGTTCATTATTTCTTCTCTCATCTTTTTCTTCTATTTGAGCTTGGGGCACTTGCACATAGGAAGTTGTTTTTCATTGCCATATTAATTGATTCTTCTAATAGCAGATGAATTGTTGGAAAATGACCTATTTGAATTTTTTTTAAAAATGTTATGGGGAAAAAAATAGGTGCCTATAATTAACTGAGGTTTTCTGAGCACTGAAGAAGGAATTAACACCCAACAATAATAGCTATTATCACACTGAATGCAAAACATATTAAAATATGCATGATGCAGAGTAGAAGTGTGATTGCCCAGGGTTCATGAAGTTCTCAAGTTGAGACATGTAGATTTTCTTGATTCATTCATGAAGTGCCAGAAATGTCTTATCAAACATCAGTGCCAGAAATGTCAGAGAGCAAACAGGTCCTTGGGTGCTGAAGTCATTCATTAGAGATTAAATTTCACTACTAGGGTAATCTGAAAGCATCACAAGTCCTCATGACCTTAAAGAGAATTCTGAATGTTCAGTAATATTCTTTTATCACCTTTCACGTGGTATAGGATGCTGAGATACTCTCTAAGCCCCAGGACAGGAGAGGTCTCTTGCTACTGTTTTGACTTTAGTTTGTAATATAATGAATGCTTTGTTTGGAATTAAGAATATTTATATTTGTTTTTTCCTCCACTCTAGGTCGGTGATGTAGTAGAAGTACAGGCAGATGAAACTTTTCCCTGTGATCTTATTCTTCTATCATCCTGCACTAGTGATGGAACCTGTTATGTTACTACAGCCAGTCTTGATGGGGAATCCAATTGCAAGGTAATGAAGAGTAAACCTCGCTTACACATTTTAAGCTCAGAATAGTTCATCAATAAATACTCCCTCCAACTCCCCTAATCTTTTATCTTATTTTATCTTATTTGTGTACATTTTGTATTTGAAGACAGCTTTTATGTAGTTATTCTTGAACTTCTAAGAAAATTCTCAACTTTGGGGAAAAGGGTGGTATTGGGTGAAGAAAATCCATGTCCCAAGTAAAAGCCACCATATTTATATATATATTATTGATTTCAGAGAGAGATAGAAACATCAATGATGGGAGAGAATCATTGATTGGCTGCCTCCTACACACCCCACACTGGGGATCGAGCCCACAACCCAGGCATGTGCCCTGACTGGGAATTGAACCATGACCTCCTGGATCATAGGTTGATGCTCAACCACTAGGCCATGCCAGCCGGGCGCCACCACATTTTTTATATACTACTAACTGCAAGCAGTTAGTAGTATATAAAAATATTGATATAACCCACTTAATATTTTATTGAGGCTTTTTAAAATGAGAGTAATCATAGGCTGAAAGTATCTACACTAATAAAAGACAAACATGCAAATTTACTATACCTTCGCTATGGCTTAAGCCACGCCCACCAACCAATCAGAGCAACTATATGCAAATTAACCCAACCAAGATGGCGGCCGGCAGCCAAGGAGCTGGAGCAAGCAGGAGGCTTGGTTGCCCCAGTGATGGAGGAAGCCAAGCTTCCCGCCTGCCGCAGCTGGCTCTAAGCTCCACTCAAGGCAACAAAGTTTCAATTATAGAAGATAAATAAACCCCAGATACCTGCTTTCAGCCGGCCGTGGCCATGGACCTGGAGTGAGCAGGAGGCTTGGGTTGCCCCTGGCGATGGAGGAAGCCAAGCTTCCCGCCCGACCTGGCCGGCTCTGAGCTCCACTCAAGGCTACAAAGTTTCAATTATAGAAGGTAAATAAATCCCAGAATAAAAAAAAAAAAAGGAAAAAAGGAGAGGCTGGGAGCTTCCGTCACCGGGGGGCTTGGCCAGCCTGAAAACGGCCCTTAGCCCCTCACCCAGGCTGGCCAGGCATCCCAGTGGGGACCCCCACCCTGAAGGGGGTGTGACCAGCCTGCAAACAGCCATCAGCCCCTCACCCAGGCTGGCCAGGC